CGCTCTTTTCAATGACACCAAAAACATGTCAATCGGTTCAGTAGTTTCGGAGGAGTAATTGTCACAAAAATCATGCTTGCGTATTAAATAAGTATAGATTTCTAAAAAACTGAAACCCTAAACTAAAATTATGGCTTCAACATTCCCTAGTTCTCAAAATTATCTTTCTTTCAACACAAAAATCATAAAAATCCGTCAAGTGGTTGATTCAGAATCGTGAAATAAAAAAACCCTGTTTCGTTTTTATATATAGGACTAGCAGAGTACCCGTCCTTCATACGTGGTTGGCATATAAGTATAAAATGCTTATTGCAGTTATACTCAAGCTTTGCGTTTGCAATGGGAGAGGACACAGTTTCATAAAATTTGCTTCTTTAAATTCACGGTATATTTATAGTATTACACATCTACCATAGCCATAATGTTCTACCACTTCACCTAAACAAAAGAGAAAAATAAGTTACTAAAAATTTTTAGAATATCACAAATTATTCATGAAGTAAAAAACATAAAGATAACTGTTAACAATCCTACTTTGACAGTACTCAATGTGTATCACAGTTTTTTGTTACTGCTTATAGTACAGGTAAAATAATACCAAAAACGCCTCCAATAACAAAAAAATTGGTCCGTTGATGAAACTTGGTGAAAACTTTCCTTTTGTCATAAGAATTAAGAATCTAAAGAGTCCATAAAAATATTTTAGGTGGAAGGGTGTTTTTGGGGGGGGTGGGGGGGGAAATATCAGTTTGAAAAACTGAAAATTATATTTTGACGAAATATAGGCATGTGACCCATGTTTTTGGGGTTATTTTTTATGCTAAAACGAATAAAAATAAGATCCAGACGATATAACCTCCATATAAAGAGTTTTTGTTTTGATTACCTCTGATATTCAATAATTTTCCCAATTAGTACAGGTAAGATGGTACAAAAAACACCATAGTATAACAAAGTTGGTCCGTTGATGGATCAGGGTGAAAACCTTTCTTTTTCCATAAGAATAATGGATCAAAATAATCCATCAAAATACCCCCGCCTCAGCAAACCTACAGACTAAGCGAATTTCCATTTAGGCATACCGGTATCTGATTGGATTTTCAATTAAATCTAGGTAATTTTTAAATACCTTTAGAACTATTTTTTACAAATACCTAGGTTTGCTGCTACAGGGAGGGTAATATAGTTTGTTTTCAGTAAAATATTAATAGCTTAGTTTTAAGTAAATACTTTTTCCAAGTTTGGTGGAAATATATTCATAAACAAGCAAACTACAACAGTTTACTTATTATCTTTAAGAATAACATAGGAAATTTAAATTTACAATTTATTGAATTTTCTCCGTAACCCATAACCTTATAAAAACACTTAAATATACTATATTATTTGTTTTTACACTATATTAAAAGGTGAAAAGATAAATTGAGGAATTTTATGTTTTGCTCCCCAAACCAATTGTTTTGAGAAAAATAAATTTTTACCCCCATAAAAGCCCTCATAACACCCCGTTCCCAAGGTCCGATCATGCTGGTTCGCGAACTCATTCAAGTTTATTCCGCCCTACTCCTTCAACCGAATTTAATCAAAATCGGACAAAAAATCGTTCACGGACGTAATTTTTTTTCACCGACTTCTCTACAACAGTAGTATTTAAACATCCACAACTACGTATTGCTGGGCCATCCATTTAGTGGTTGTGACAGCACTAGTGTTATATTTGGGAAAGGTAAAAAAAGATCCTTAAAATACTGGAATCTGAGGCTGCTATGGAGAAAGTCATATCAACTTTCAACTCAAAAGGTTCAACAGAAATTGAAGTGAATGAAGCTGGAGAAACTTTATTTTTCGATGTATGGGGAGAAAAAATTGTAAATATTCTCTACATTGAATTGCAAATTCTATAAAGACTATTTCAAAAGTCTTTGAAAAAGGCTAGTTCAAAACTGGAATCGCTGCCACCCTCGTCGGATGTAATGTTAAATCATATAGATGTAATAAAGTTCAGCTATGGTTTGGTAATAAATTAGTGCCTAAACAGAGGGGTTGGACATGACAGAATGGAAATTTGATGCTACCAAATAATATGACATAAGATGTAACCCCAGAAAATATTCTGAAGTTGGTGTCATGTACATGCACAGGCAATTGTTTAACAAAACAGTGCAGCTTCAAGAAGAGTGTAATCACATGTACACACCTACGCAAGATGTGTGAAAGCCTTACAAGTCTGAATGCGGAAGTTGAAGAGAAGGGACCAACACTCATTTACCAAAAGACTTGAATGAAGGCAAACCATTTTTGTGAAGAAGATAATTAGTATAAACCTTATTATACTATTTTTCTTTATTTTTTTATTTTTCTTATAGTCAAATGATTAACCATAATTTTTTTTCTTTAATCTTTGTATCATTACAATATATTCTTTATTGCCTAAACTGTTTGCTTATACTTATATTAATACTTAGTGGTGGGCATACTTACTGCAGTATATTTTACCATCGCCATTTATTATGGTGAAAATCTAGAACTAGCACAGGAAAACCCAATATTTTTATGACAGATAACAATAGAGCATGTAATTTTAAGATACAGTATCTTTATTCTTAAGTACTTTCTTTTACAGCTGTAGGTTTTGGAGAAAACGGGTAGGTATACAAGTTTCTCAGGTGTAATTTTAATAGTAATAACCACAAAACAACACCCTTCGTTCAAATTTATATACATACATACAGATATATATATACGTCCATGGACACGATAAACTGAGTAATTTTGTTCCGATTTTGATTAAATTTAGCTTGAAGGTGTAGGTTGGAATAAACTTGAATGAGTTGGCGAACCAGCATGATCGGACCGTGGAAACAGGGTGTTATGGAGGCGTTTATGAGGTCAAAATTTGTTTTTCTAATTTTTAACCCTCAAAGCATAACATTCCTCAATTTCTCTTTAAACCTTTTAATATAGTGGAAAACAAATTATGTAGTATATTTAAGTGGTTTTTTACAGTAAACCGGTTATGGAGAAATTCAATAAATTATAAATTTTAAAATCCTATGTTATTCTTAACGAGAATAAGTAAACTGTTGTAGTTTGCTTGTTTATGGATATATTTCCATCAAACTTGGCAAACGTATTTACTTTAAACTAAGCGATTCACATTTTACTAAAAAAAACACACTTTATTACCCTCCCTGTAGCAGCAAACCTAGGTACTCGTTAAAAATAATGTTATTTAAAAGTTAAATAGATTTAATTGAAAATCCAATGAGTTAAATGGAAATTCGCTTAGTCTGCTGGCTTGCTGTGGCGGGGGTATTTTTATGGACTATTTAAATTCTTTATTCTTAAGGAAAAAGAAAGGTTTCCATCCTGATTCATCAACGGAGCAATATTTTTACACTACTGTAGCCTATATAGTGTTTTTGTACCATCTTACCTGTACTAATTGGGAAAATTATTGAATATACGAGGTAATCAAGACAATAACTCTTTATATGGAGGTTATATCGTCTGGATCTTATTTTTATTCGATTCAGCATAAAAAATAGCCCCAAAAACATGGGTCGCATGCCTATATTTCGTCAAAATATAATTTTCAGTTTTTCAAACTGATATTTCCCCCCCACCCCCCCAAAAACACCCTTCCACCTAAAATTTTTTTATGGACTGTTTAGATTCTTAATTCTTATGACAAAAGGAAAGTTTTCACCAAGTTTCATCAACGGACCAATTTTTTTGTTATTACATGCCTATTTTACCTGTACTATTAGTTCAAATTAGCTGTTTTCATAAATGCAAAAAATAATAGTGCTGCACCCTATTGGTAAATCTTATAACTTTAATGCTTTTGTATATGATAGAACCAACATTTTTAGTTGAAACAGCTGACTAAATTCTTTAATTCCCTTTAAATATGAACTAGCTGTACCCGCGGGCTTTGCCCCGTTTAACTTCATATGTGAGCTCGTTCGCATGGCTCAATCACGTCCTGGTTGAAGTTCGTTCGCTACGCTCACTCACCTTTAGGTTGGAGCTCGTTCGCTGCGCTCACACGTCCTGGTTGAAGTTCGTTCGCTACGCTCACTCACCTTTACGGTTGGAGCTCGTTCGCTGCGCTCACTTGAATTCAGGTTAGCTCGTTCGCTACGCTAACTCGCCTCCGAGTTGTAGTTCGTTCGCTACGCTCACTCACCTTTTGGCTGCAAATTAGCTGTTGTCATAAATTTAAAAAATAATAGTGCTGCACTCTGTTGGTAATCCTTGTAACTTTAATGCTATTGAACATCACAGAACAGAATCAACTTGTTTGATTGAAACAGCTGTTATGATTCATAATTTCATTTAAATATGAGTACTCATTAGGTTAACATGGGAAACTCCAGAGCCACTGGGGCGGAGCCCGAGAGTCCGATTTAGAATAAAAACCACTTAGTTTTCCTATTATTTAATGCCTAAAGAATCAGTGTACCAAATTTCAGCCTCCTAGGTAAGTGGGAAGTGGGAGAATTAGTGATGAGTGAGTGAGTCAGTCAGTCAGTGAGGGCTTTGCCTTTTATATATATAGATACTCATGGGGAACTAAAGAGCCACTGGGGCGGAGCCCGAAAGGATTTTTGAGATAATCGGGAATGTGAGCTATCATCATGCCAAATTTCAGCCAAATCCGTCCAGTAGTTAATGCGTGATTGAACTTCAAACAAACAAACAAACAAATAAACAAACAAACAAACAAACAAACACACAAACTTTCACATTTATAATATTAGTAAGATAACTGGTAAACTAAATTGTACCATGTTTGAACTTTGTGTGTTCCATAAAAATGCCAACCCAGTACCAAGGGCACTTGAGTATTCTGCTAGCTTAGTTATAAAAGACAAATTGCAGTCTATCATAATATTCCTTGCTATTAATATACCTACTTTGTAAACATTTATAAAATTTATTTATTACTGTTACTTATTTTTTAAACCATATGTCTGATATTGTTTAAATTATTGTAAACATTCAAGTCTTTAACAATCATGTAAAATTTTCCAGTTAATTTTGGTTTTATCAAGAAAACTCAAGATAAATTTTAAATATTACAAATACTTGTTTGGTAAGTAGAATTTTTATAGATAAAAAAAGTAAAACTTTATTATCAATACCGGTACATGCCTAAACCATGTTGTTGTGGGACATTGACAAGGGCTCCAAAGATATCTCTTATTTTTAAAATTACCTAAATTTAATTTCAGGTCAGCTCTAAACTGAATTTCTTATCTGTAATTTTAGTGAATATTCAATATGGGGAATAAGATATTACCGTAGGTCTCATTGTTGTAAGACCTAGACCCGGAACCAATTTATTTTTCGTTTTGAGGTGCCCAGAGGTCAAAACGCCATCCATTCAAGTTCATATATATAGTATATTTATATGTGTGTGTGTCCGTTAGCACTATAACTTAAGCAAAAAATGAAAGGATTTTGAAGAAACTTAATATAAACGTGTAAACCTACACATTTATTACATCAAACAAGTTCGGGAAACAGCACGATTGGACTATGGGAACGGGGTTTTATGGGGTAAAATATTTTTCCCCATTTTTGATCCTAAAAACATAAAATTTTGCAATTTCTTTCTAAACTGTAGAGCTATAGAGCTACCTATATTGCTAACTATAGGCCTAGAGCTTAAAAAAAAAAATAATTTAGTGTATTCAAGCATTGCTAACAGTTGCAGAAAGTATTCCAAAAAAGTTAAAATTTAAAATTCTCAGGTTATTTCTTATTGAGAATAAATAAACTGCCGTAGTTAGCTTGTTTATTGGTATATTTTAATGCAATTTGGCAAATTTCTTATTTCAAACTAATCTATCAATATTTCTATAAAGAAATACACATCATCATCCCTGTAGCAGAAACCTAGGCAAAAAATAAAGTAGTAATTTTATTGAAAGTAGGAAATAAATCTGACAACTTAAAGAGAATATGTTAGTGGAAATCCAGCCAGGTAAATGGAAATTTACTTAATAACTTCTTGAGCAGCATCTTACGGGTTACTAAATTACCTGAAAGTGCATAAGGAATAGGTTTTATGGGTAAAATCAAACTAAAATCAAGAATACATTTTTTAAAACCTTGTTGGCAAGATGTTCATTACGATACATGCTTTAAATGTTTTAAATCTTGAAAAGATAAAAATATTAAAAATATCTTTGTTAAATTCAGTATGCAATTTTAAAACGTCATAAGATAGCAAACAAACAAACAATTATTAAACTTTTTCTCACTATGGCAGGTATTTTTGCTGTTATAACTTTAATTACAAAAAAAGGATGAATTGTGAAATGCTATGAAAACTTTTACTTAGCATTTAACAGTTTCTATAAATAAATACAGGCTTACACATTTGCACCAAATTAAATCAAATTAAGGCGATTTTTACTCAAGTTATTGTGTGTGCTAATGCACACATAATGGATTATCTTTGGCCTTTGGGGACACCATGGCAAAAAAGTAAACTGGTACCTGGTCCAGGTGGGAAGATAAGATCTACGGTAATAGCTTAATCCCTATAGTACATTTACTAAAAGCATGAAATTTGGTTAGAATTTAGTTGTTAAAGTGTAATACCATAGATAAAACATACTCCCTTAGTAGATTTGTCATCTTTATGGAACAGTTGAAGCCAGTTTTATTGTTAGTTCTGTACGTCCAACTGTAGAGATCGTGTTCTGTTTACAATTTGTTTCTTGTTAAACCTCATATAACCAAATAAAACTATATAATCATAAACAATAACTGGTCTCCTAGTTATATAACCAAATAGTAACGCACAAATCATGAAAATAACCCTAAAATAATAGAAACAATATTTCGTCTACCCCAGCGATCAGTGGTGGACTTACATGAACTAGACACAAAAAACAAGCTTCAAAATTTGCAATGGGATGAGGAGTCTACTTAATAAATGGAAATATTTAAAACTATCAGAAAAATTATTTACAACCCAGGCAATATGCACTACATTTTTGAGACAATTAGTTCTGACAAGACTATTTACTTACCTATCTCTTGTCTTTGGCCAGTAAAAGTGAAAAGTCAACAAACATCAACAAACATTAGCTCCAGAATAAACAGATAGTAGCTCCAACTCAAATTACTAAGTAAACATTTATACATTTACATTACTTGCTGTGTGCCTGTTCTACAGCCTGGGATCTTGTAGTCAGTTGAAACATTATTCAGACCAACAGGTGGATTGCATATTAAAGTGTGAAGTTATCCAGATATGCTTGCAAACATATTGTAGGAATACTCACAATATTAAAAAACACAATATCTGACAGTTTCAAACAAAACCAAATGCTTTGCAATCAAGTGTCACCGGAATATAAATCTGTTTTGTTCTATTTTATAACCAAAGATTATCTTAACATTAAACTGGTCCTTGGGAAAACTACCGGTACCGGAGAGTCATCGACGAAATTTAGTTGTGGATAATTGAGTAGGTATGTCTACGTACCAATAAGATATGGACCACAGACCTATTGGTGATATGCTCCAGCGATAGCAGCGCAATGGTGGTGAGTCAAAACCGAAAGTGACACATTGGAAAAGCAATTGTTACAATCAAAACGAAATTGCAAAGATCCTCCAGGAGCGCAGCAACCCAACACACATCCAGTGTAGTTGTGATTTTTTACTTGTCACAACAGCATTTGAAACCGTGAGTGGAAACCTCGGTTGTAGGCTTTTGGCACGATGATTTAAAAATTCTTAAAAAAGTTTCCTAGTCCTGCACACATAACACTGATTCACCATCTTTTCCCCGGTTATCAAAACTCAAGTACAATTTGGTACACACATAATCTCCAGTTCCCGACCTGGACGATGGCTAGTTATTTAATTTAATTGACATATTATTGTACTTGGGATCAAGAAACTCCGTTATGTAAGCCACACAGTTATTAATCTCACTTGGTTTTGGATTTGCTTATAAATTTGATCGGAAATGGTCACAAAGTAAAAGAGAACCTGTGCGGTCCAATAAGCCGCACAGTAAATATATAACGTCTAGAGGAAAATGTTATGCTTAAATTTGAGTAATTCTAGTTACATCTTAGAGTTGTTTGAAAACTTGTTAGAAACTAATTTTAAATATCTCTATTTGCGTCGTCAAGGTTCATCTACATTATTTCTGCTCTCAGTTTTAACTGATAACTTCTAACGGATGCTAAACGCTCTGCTTCAATTTGAGTAACATGTTGCAACAGTTTTTCCAGCATTGAGAATTCAAGAAAACTGTTGTCCTACTGATAACCTGTGTTAAGTAATTAAAGTTGGGTCATTTTATTTCTTTGATTTAAGACATCCCCCTAGACTAAAGAATTTTCTTTGCAGAGAATCCTGAAAAGTGGGGTGATATTAACCTTTTGATGTGCTCCATTTTTTACCCACAAACTATGGGTTACCAACTGGACAGCCATAATCTGCTTTGAAAAGACTAAAGCAGCAACACAACGGAATGTTGGTTAATGTAATTTAATGTGTTGTCTGCCAGTCACAGTATCTATACCGATTTAGAACATTCTCACGTTGTTCAGTGGAGTTTCTCTTAATATATGTCCCAAAGTTTTGAAAGTATGGATTCATTTGTCGAAATAGGTTCGATAACTCTTGTAGCTATAAGATTTGGATAGCAATTTTAATTTTCTCTTTTTGAACAGCGTATATTATTTGCTCCTCCTGAATCATAACTTGACCGTAACTACTCGATCGTTGAATACATAAACACTAATTCCTTCACTTATGTTTGGTCTAAATATAAATAATAATGTTTGGTCTTTGCTACTAACACTTTCAATAGCAAATGAGTTTTTGAAACTTCTTACTAGAAATGTCTGGATTGTGTTGGTGAATTCAGTAAAAAAAACTTTGTATAAGTTTGCCCGAGGAACTGGCATCATAACCTAGAAGTAAACAATCCATTTGCGTTTTTTTATCAATTGAAGTAGAGCGAGTAATACAAATGTTTACAATAAAAACATAAGGTAAGGTAAATGCACCAGTAGCTGACAGTGCTCCAGACAGGGCCGATTTACCAAATAGGCACGGTAGGCACGTGCCTAGGGCGCGAGGCAATTGGATTTTTTGGGGGGCGCCAAAAAATTGAAAAATAAAAAAAATGGTGGTTGCATTTGCACAAGTATTTGCATGCGATCGCGGTAAACTTCTGTTAATCCTTCGCGGCCGTGTCCCGCGGTTGCGGCAAAATTGTGACTATTTTCTGCGGCCGTGTGGACATAATTATCGTCTCCCATGATCGCGGCAATATATGAACATATTCCGCGGTCGTAAATAGATTATCATCGTCTACCACGAATGAGGCAAAATTAAGATATTTTCCCGTGGTCGTGTGGACATTATCATCGTCTTGCGCGATCGCGAGCAAATTCTCATCACTACTCGCGGCCGTAAAGACATCATTATATTGTCCCCCGTGGTCGTTTTGACATAGTAATCGCCTCCCGTGATTGCGGCAAAATGGTAATCATCTCCCGCGCTCTTGTGGAGATCATCACCGTCTTCTGCAAATGAGGCAAAACTCTGACCTTTTCCCGCGATCGAGTGGACATTATCATATTCTTACGCGATCGCAATAAAGCCCTCGTGGCCGTGAAGACATCTTTATATCGTCCCCCGTAGTCGTGTTGACATAGTAATCGCCTCCCGTGATTGCGGCAAAATAGTAATCATCTCCCGCGGCCATGTGGAGATCATCGTCTTCTGTGAATAGCAAAATTCTGGTCCTTTCCTGCGGTCATGATCATCGCTTTGCACGATCATCCCTCTCGTATCATTATTGTATCTCCCGCAGTCCTGTAGCTATGGTAATCCTCCCCGCGGTCGTGAAAACGTCGTAATCGCCTCCCGCGGTCGTGAAAACGTCGTAATCGCCTCCCGCGGTTGCGGCAAAATGTTAATAATATCCCGCAGTTGTGTGGAGATAATCATCGTCTTCCGCGATCGCGGCCAAATTCTTGCTGTTTCCTGCGGTCAGACATTACCATGGTCTTCCGTGATCAGAATATCCGGCAATATTCTGATCATCCC